CCATGGAAGTGATTGGAACACCTGATTCCAATAATTTGGATGGGTGAGCAAATACTTTTGGCAATATAGTGTATAAAGGGAGCTTTAGTTACTAACAAACTGAGCAAAAACAAAACAAAACACCAGCAGAAAACATAAATCTTTCATATAATCTTTTTATTCAACCAGAATGAGTTAAAAATAAATACTGTTCACCTTTAACATAAAATAGTATGTTCAATCATCATGTCTTTTAGCAATCATAGGGACTGACAGCCTCAATGAGCCCGGTTAGCTTTGAAGGTGAGTGCTGAAACCCAGGGCATGGAAAGTTAACCGAAAGGAAAAAGTGGAATAAACAGAGGTCCAAACATCAGGAATAACTGTTGCCTCAGGAGGATTAATAAGCAATTTAATCCATGATTTAGGGCAAAGTCACAAAGTGTGGACAGAGTTTAAAGAATCACCACTGATGGACCTGTGCAGGACATGAGCTACAGCCGTTCTGTCCCTGTTAATACCCCTCCTTAACCAGACACGATCCACACAGGAAGCATTCAGAACATTTCTGAACTAACATACCCCTCAGCTAACAAGCTCTGTATAAAGGTTAAACCATTTTCCCTCAGGACTTTCTCCCTGACTACACGATCATAAAGAGGCAGTGTAGAATTGAATGAAAACTTTCCAGACCCAACATTGTAGACAAGCTTCATGCTACTGTTTAAGTAAACTGAGCCTCTTTTAATACCTAAGCATCGCTGCACCTTGATAACCTCTATGCCATGATAAAAAGGAGACCCATGCTGTACAATACATAGATTTATCATTTATTCAGCTGGCTTCCACTTGGTCTGATATAATCTTCTGAACAGAATATGAGCTGCGGACCATATTAAATATAATCTTATAAAATGAGTTTGCATTTAAGCAGTGGATTTGCAATGACTCTTAATATTATGCAAGTTTCACTTTCTTTTTTTTTTTCTTTTTTTTTCTTATTTTATTTATGCATTTTCAGAGTTAAACGGACAAGACAAAAAAGAGAAAAAAATAAAATAAAATACAGCAAAACAAGTACAACAAAAACAAAAAGAAAACAAGACAAAACAGTGTCAGCAAACTGAAGAACTGATAAGAGAATAATTATATTATTATTATATTAATAGAGCATATTAAAGCACGAGGCAGAGTCAGAGAGGACAACAAATAATTCTGCAGACATTGTATCAAGCGGATCAACATAAAACATGGGATATCAATAAAAAAATTTTTTTTTAAATAAAAAGAGTACAATAAAGGATGACAGTATTGAGATAATAAATAATGAAAAAAAGAATTAAAAAAAGAAAAGAGGTCCAGAAAAGAGTAATTTTAACCCATTATTTTGAATATGTCTATTAAAAGGACCCCACACATCTAGAAACTTATCATGATTGTCTGACAAACAGTATCGAATTTCTTCAAGACAGGACACCATATCATTGAACCATTTTTTTAAAGCATGGAGGTGTAGAGGATTTCTATTCCCTCAGAATAACCCGTTTTGCAACCACCAAACCAAACATTAGAGCCTGCTGCAGAGACATGTGAAGAGTAACCGAGAATTTAGAGCAACCCAGAATTGTCAAATGGTTTTCCGGATATAGAGCTTTGCCATAAGCGTTACTATAAAATTTGAATATTCTGTACTAAAAGTCCATAAGCGTAGGGCAAGAGCAAAACATATGACCTAAAGTCCCATTATCTGATTTACATTTGTCACATATAGGAGAGACATTAGGAAATAGCTTATTAAGTTTGGTTTTAGAAAAGTGCAAACGATGGATAACCTTTAATTAAATAAGTTGCAATCTGGAGTTAATGGAACAGGTTTTGATCCTTGACAGACTCAAATTCCACATCTCATCTGAAATTTCGACTAGTGTATCAGAAGCCCAGGCCTCTTTTATACGATTGGTAGAAGGAGATGAACTGAAAAGATTAACAAAGTGAGAGATTAGCTTTCTAGAAGTGGGGGGCTTTTTTATAAGCTCGAAGAAGCTATGTTGCACTGATATGGTCTCAAAGTGAGGGAAATTTTGTCTGACAAAATTGCGAACTTGCAGGTACCTGAAAAAGTGGCTAGAAGGAAGACCAAATTTGGACTGGAGTTGCGTGAAGGAAGCAAAGCTGTTATCGATGTATAAATCCTTGACAACAGCTATGCCTCTATATAACCAGTGCTTGAAAACTACATCCAAATTCCCTGGCTTAAATGCTGCATTCTGAAAGATGGGGGCATAAATGGAGAAATCAGAGAGATTCAGAACAGTCTTTATCTGCTTCAGAATCCTAAATGAATTTTTTAAGATGAAATTATCCTTTAGCAACTGAAAGGGGAAAGAGAAATTGGAGAACACTACAGCTGAAAAAGTTTCACTGCCTTAAAGTTAAATTGACATTGAAGTGCATCTTTATTCATACAAACCTTCATGTGTGCACACTAAGGATAAATATGCAGGTATGGATATAGTGACCATTGATCCACTCAAAAGAGGAAATGTGGAACAAAATGTCAAATAAGGAGGTTGGATCTCTTTGATTTCCAATTTCACAAAATGGAAAACATTCACTCAACAAATTCAGGAAAACAAATAATTTTTTCTTTCTTCACTGTTTTGACAGGATGGAGAGAAAACAACCTTCAAAAACACATCACTTAGAGAACAACATACCTTTTTGTGTTTTGTATTCAAATATCTCAGCATCTTGTCCCGGATTGAAGTGCCTGAAGTAAGTGCAATTTTCCTCTGTGAAAAGAGAAGAAAACAGATTTCAAATATCTGAACGATGTGATAGCTCTGAGGTACGTTCACAGAAAGAAGTGTAAGTGTGAAGCATTTATTTAGAAGTTGATGAAAAAAATGTATTGCTTTGCCTTTTGGATAAAAAGATTTTAAAGAGATCCTCCTGTTTAAAACAAGTTAGAACTGAAGGCATAAAACATTTCTTCAAAATAAGGAGTTTGAAAATTAATATATTTGACAAAACGACACTAAAACAAATTTAAACATACTAGCATCTTGCTAGTATGTTTAAATTTAACCCAGCAATGTATCCAAACTCAGTAATCATTCTTACTTTGAAAATACCAGTTTTTAAATTTTTTTATGATACATGTAGCTTCATTTCCCCCCAATCAATGTCTTCCTCCTCTTGTGCACCACTGGACCTTTTCACTCTACCTTTTAAGCCTTGTCTCCCATCTTTTTCACACCATTATCTGAGCTCCTGCTGCTGAACACCTTGTGAATGCCATGCTTCCAATGGAACACTTCACACTGTCTGATCTGTCACATTTATGCTCTAAAAGCATCTTAAAACCTACACCCTCTAGATAGTATTAAGACTAAATTGGTTGCCACTCTGAATTTTCTGCTTTGTGCGGTTTGACTCACAGAGTAACTGCTTTTGCCACCCAGATCACTATTAGATTTTTTTTCTTACAGAAGAGGTGTTAGACCTTTGGGATTTGTTTGAATGAAGCAGATTTGCTTTATGTGCTTGTGCAGTGATTTGTGGGGTGGAGGAAATGTTCCTTCACAAGGACTATAAAACATTGAATCCAGTTTCAAAACAGATTGGAATTAATGTCAAAACTTTAACATATTTTACATTTATCGCACAAAAGTAGGCAATGAGAGCTATAAGGGACTTATCAGCCTTATACTGTGTATATGGGCTTCATACAGAATGTCTCAAATCAAATAATATTAGCTTTAAATAACATATTTACCAGCATTGAAAGTATTAATCTCAAGGTTGAAAAGGAACCAGAACTCACACTAAGAAGTTAAATCTGGAAATATGCAAGACAAGTCTTAATTTTACAAGGTAATGAGCTCTTCATTCCCTGTGCTTTGAAATGATCCATTTGTTAAAATGTTCTCAAATGTGCCAGGTTCCTGAAATGAAGCAAAAAAACAGAGTTTACTCTAAGAGGCCCAAACAATCTTATTTGTAAAGAAAAAAGTCAGCTTTTTGATGTTTACTAAAGGCTGCCTTTAAAACGTAGGGCTTTCAGTGTCACGTAACACACTGTGTGGGTCTGCATACAAATAAAGATGTTTTTATGAATAAGGACAGGGACTGGCCATAAAGAGAGAGAAAACAGATATGTAGTTACTAAGCAACAAGCCCCACTGTTTTCACTGTTGATGCCACATAAGAGGTGCAATAGAGGCTTTTCAATGAGTTATACCTCTGAGTCAAACCTGACAGAGAAATGAAAGGCAGGGAAACAGCTTCCAAATTTGTTTTATTATTTTTCTGTCATAAAAAGGTTATAAAAGTTGCCATTTTCTATGTTTATGGTGGTTGAACAGAACATTTACTTTCTGATTTCTTTTCCAGCTAGCAATATGACAAACTTTGCCGGTTAAATTGATTTTCTTTACCCCCACATTTTACAAAACAGAAAAACAGAACTAAAATAGGTAAATGTACTGATTGAAAAAATAAAAAGAACAGTGGAACCACAAACTGTAACTCCAAGTTCTGTAAAACCGTGTTGTCCAGTTGGAAGCGCTGCTGATTGTCAATCAGTTTTACTTGATTACTGCGAATGAAATACACAACAGGTGAAGGCAATTACGAAGACCTCCCCATAAAAGAGATATTCTCCAGGTGGTCATCACAGACAATTTCCTCGTGGCTGATTTTTGTAGGCACCTTCACCCTTAGAGATGGCATTAGGCATTGTCTACAATCTTCAGAAGTTGTTCAAGAAGTGCAGCTCATCCAAGATGGCACATTACTGCGGGGTGTAGAACGAAAGAGTGCTATTTCTGTCAGAGGATGGAGGAGATTCTAAACCAGTCAGCATATTTACAGACATTAAGCAAACTCTAGAAACTAAACGACTCAGCAATAGGATGGACCTCTTGCTTTGTGTAACGAGAAACAGGAGAATTACTACCAGAGGCCTCCAAAATAAACTTCTCGCAGGTGACTAATGTGCATGTTTCTGCTCAAACTGTCAACAACACCCTCCATGAGAGTGGTGTGAGGGCCGGATGTCCAGGAGCGCGGCTTTTGCTTACAGCCCAGCAGTGATTACGGCCAGTGTTTTGCAAGAGGGTTTAGCATAATCACAGTTGGCGCTCTGTGCTTCTTACAGATGAGAAAAGGTTCAGACTGAGCCCATGAGATGGACGTGAAATGCTGCTTTCAACATTCTCCAGCATGACTGGATTGGAAGTCAGTCAGTAATGTTGTGAGGAGGAATTTCTTGCATAACTCAAGGTGTTAGCCAGAGATACTTTGACTGTCATCAGGTACCAGAGATCCTAAAACCATCTGCTAATGCAGGATTCCTTCACATGCATGACAATGCTAGGCCTTATGTAGCTGAAGGGTTTCAGCAGTTTGTGCATTAATGTCAAGAACTGAATCTAATCAAGCAGACCTGGGGCATCACTTTTCATTGCTCTACAGGAGTGAAGATTCAGGTCTGGGATTCCCCGCCTCATTTGTGAGAATGCCCAGGTGTTGTAGGGAGGGCAGACAGACACGTACTACTGAGCCTAATTTTGACTTGTATTTAGGAATTTCCACTGAGGTTGGATCAACCTGTCATGTAACTCCCGCCTCTTATTTTGAATTTGATTTTAAATCCAGAACTCTGTGTAAAAATAACAATTTACTTCATTTTTATCTTTTGCTCTCAACCCATTCCAGAATGTGATAAATAAAGATGTACAGCAATAATTTTATAATAATAATAATTTTATTCAGAGGGATATAGGATGTTTTATTTTAGTGTTCCCTCTATCGTTTGGAGCAGCAGCTCCAGATATGATCAAGGTTCTTTAAGAAGAGTCTTTCCTCACATAAAACCTTTAGTAGGTTATCTAGATTCTATGATTTTGCTAAAATGGAGACTTTACGTTGTCAATGGAGTGGCTTTTTAAAAATAATGAACTGATTTCTCAGAATGTTTAATAATTAGTGACCTTTAAAACTGTTGGTGTACCTTAATGCTTGCATAGAAACCAGCAATATTGTGACAAAGAACTTAACTAAAATAAGTGCGGTAGTGATCTTTTTCCTTATCAACATTTTACAACGCTAAACAAAATCTACTTCCAATTGCATAATTTCTCTGCACCATCTACTAAGCATGTCACCTGGTTTCAAATCCAAAAGGATCATTCCGACATCTAAACCCTTAAAAAATAGTTCACAGCTACTATCTGTGGCCAGAAAAAAGCACATTATTCTTCTTTACAGATTTATTTTAGCTACATAGATGAGCCTAAGACCTCCTCCTCCTTGTGAGGATGCAATCATCTATGAAGACCTTGGTCTTGTCAGATACCTTCTCCATGTCCATAGTGGATTCTTAGAACAAGTGTAGGGGAGGTTTTTGCTGTTTTCCTTGCCAACTTTCATCAAATTTTTACAGGTAAAATCCTTTTTATTATCTTAATACGCAAACAATTTTTAATGCTAATATTTAGTTAAGCTGCTATCCTACAGCAGCCAGAATGATCCAGTATTTTTACATAAGGGACATACAAGAGTAGATAGATCTAATAATAGGCCATAAATGACATTGTCCACAGACTATGAGATGGTCCCATGTAAGGTGACAGTAATGATTTAATGTAGGACAATTATAATCCTTAAAATACCATAATTTGCACACAACTTTACATTTTGGTGAGTGACACAAAAATATCTTAAGAATTCAAATAAAAGGCTAATTATTAAAGAATCTGGTGAGCCATTTTATCTTTGCAGAGAAACATTCAAATGTTCATATCTTCTTCTATTCTTTTTCAGTTTTGACATATAAGACATCACTGGAAAGTTCTGCGCTCTTTCAGGATCTGTAAATCACTCAAAATGGTTCCAGGTAGACTTCCTTGTTGTGCCATTGCCTGTCACTTGTATGTCATAGATGGGTACAGATATAAATTATAAGACTAAAATAACCAATCAGACTAAAAATGTGTAAACATGCCATTCAGAATACAATGATAGCATGATGAAACTTATAGTTAGAGTGGCTCAGGTTATACAGAGCTATCTCTTTAGTTATGCTGCTATAGACTTAGACTGCTGGAGGACATAGGGACCCTTTTTCATTATTCTGCTTCATTCTATCTCTATTCTCCCATTCTGCAAAATTTTTATTTGACTGGGGTTCCTAAATGTTTTGCCCTTTGTGGGAAGATTTTCCAGTCATGAGATAATTTTTTGGATGGGGCCAAGTTACAGCTTCATTTTGTGTCCTGCGTCGTGTAGTCCACAGGAGTTAACGAGGGGTGATCAGCCTTTCCCAGCCACCTCCAGATCAGAAATTGTAAGGTCGGGAAAAAATCTAACATGGTTGAAAATCAGTTGGCCTTTATGTTGGGTTTGTGGGCAAATCCTGCTGTTAAAACACGACACTTAATCTGATACTTAATCTGATGAGCTATTTATTGCGACTCCTTATGTCTATATATCAGTTGGCCTTTATGTTGGGTTTGTGGGCAAATCCTGCTGTTAAAACAGAGCTACGAGCCGATTGACCAAAGCCTCAAGTACTGTGCATGTGCAAACAAGGGAGTTCTTCTTCCAGATTGACGAGTCCGACCAGCACCATTCTCGGCGCTGAGTCCGATGTGTGGTTTTTGGACGTGCAGTGTGAGCAGGTAGATCACATTAGAGCGTCGGGCTGTACAGTGTAAGAACAAACATCATGAGCTGGGAACTTTAAACCCTGCAGTTACTAGGTACAGTTTGAGCTTCAGCTACATGCAACGATTGGAAATATCGTACAGTGTATGCCCAGAATTAGATAAAAAACCTTAAACCAATCTGACTGTAAGAATTGGCGATATATTAGTAAAGTAAATTGAATTAAATGTAGCCAGCGGAAAGCAGAAATATGTATCAATACCTCAGTGTGCAAATTATACACCAGGTTAGTTTGCCTCATTAGAATAACACAGTCCTGACAAGCATTTACATGCATGCCGATCAGAATTTGCATTGGCAAAAACTACCACTTTCACTCAGATTACAATTTTATTCCGATCCAGCAGAATCTGATTTCTGATTCTGATATTTTGACTGACATGTTTACACGACACTTAATCTGATACTTAATCTGATCAGCTGTTTATTGCGACTCCTTATGTCTATATAAGCATAGCAACTGAGACTCACCTCTGACCTAAATAAGGCAGTCAGCTGCTTTTGCCAATATGAGCTCTATTTTCTAAGCCCAAGTGAGTCTCACACAAAAGACACTATATGATCCAAAATTCAGTGGTACAGATCCATAGTACAGTACATATCCAGTCTTTAAAAAAATCCCTATAGGGCCCAACTGAAACTCCATCTATGATTATCTGTTGGCCCCTCAGTAAAATCCTCACTCTGTGTCACTTTTATTATTGGCTGTTGTCCTGCTGGCTGCCCTGACACATTAAGCAACATATCTCTTGTTCTAAATAGGGAAATCTGTCATGTCTGCAAGGATCAGGTGAGGACATTAGCTTAACAAGATCTTGGTACACTGTCATGTTTCTAGACTTTCTTTTTTGGATGTGTGCTGTCAGTTAACTCTGTCAGAAGAAGTTTTAGGTCTAATCATCCAAGATCTGTAACTGTTTTACAACTTTAGTAGTTGCAGTCAGTTCATGTCTGGCATGGCAGATGAAGGATATGGTTACTTACACCTCAGCACCCCATGCGTGTCTGTCTATATGTAAAACACATTGCTAGCATGCTGTCTTCATATTTTATAGTTTGGTTGTGCACTTAAGTGCTTTTAAGATACCAAGATACCATTGGGCCTCCTGACTTTTTTGTTTAACTGTGCAGCCTATCCCAGGACAGTGTGATGTAGTTTGAGTTGGCATGTGGCCTGCAAGGAGACAAGCTGCTGCAGGCAGGTCTTAAGGGAGGGGTTTGGTGGAACCACAGGTCTTACACTCCGCCATGAGGCCCTGTCCCTCAAAGAAACGATGGGCGTGTGCATGAACACTTGACCCCCAGGGCTCTGACCCAGCACAGCTGAGTATTTACATAGCTTATTTTTGAACCAACAGCAGTGCTTGCTGCATGCAATGTAAAATGCATTGCACGCCTTCTGTTTATTTTCATACTTGCAGCACATGGAGAGTGCAAATGTATTGGCTTAAAAGTTTTCAGATATGTGAAAAAATTTTTTTATATACAAGGTATATCTAACATGCAGGATTCAGTATTATTTTAACTAGAGACCCTAACAGAACAGATATTTCATTTCTCTAAATAAAGGAATCGCACCAGCAACAGCAGGAATAAGTCTTAGTTTATCCCTCCATCCTCTCACTATCTGTACTCTGTCAGCATTCTCCTAAACAAAGCCAATCCATACTTTCCAGTTGTGACTCACTGCTGCGGATCTCCCTGCCAAATGTTTGAGTCCTGTTTTTAATCAGATGTTGACACCTGTCTAAAGGCATGGGTCCAAGATTAACAGCGAAACTCCTCACCACAGCCAGCCAAATCCACCAAGTAAAATGGCATTTTGCACATGCTCTGACTAAGAAAATAAAATAAAATAAAAACTTCTTTATTCTCATGTGACTTTAAATTTTGTATTGCTGTTTATCTATATGTCATATTCCAGTCTTAATAGAAACCATCCTTACATTTCCATTTCTACCACTAAAGACTTTCAGGTCTCCAGATTATTTCTGCTGTTCAGCTTGATTTTAGGATTTAGTCTCAGAGAAATTTAATTTAGCCTTAATAAGGTTTCACTGCCGAAACAACAAGCTGGTCTCTCTCCTGTTACGTTCATATGAAAGCCATTTGCTTTGGTTACATATATTAAACTAAACAAAGAATTAGAAAGGTTAATCATAGCTGTTGATAAAGCAGTAAAGAGGAGTATCATTTCCAAATTCTACGATTAATATTGTTTTTATTTTGTTTCTCGTACAGGGGAGACTTGGGACAGTTGTAAAAACTCTTTTCTCCAATCATTAAAGATGCTGTCTTAAAGACATTGGTACTAAACATGGTTTAAATTTAAAAAACATTTTTTTTTGTTTTTCCATGTGTGTTTATATCACACTGTCCTTACCGTTTGTAGATGAATGAACAGTTGGTTCGATTGAATCATTGTTTACTGTACTTTAAAGTTATAGGGGTAGCATAAGCTAAAGTTTTTGTGTCTGGCTTGCACATTTAAGCTTGTGCCATAATTGCCAACTTGGAAATGTTTGCAACAAGAGCTGCAACTGTCCCCAAACTGGAGACTTCTCATAATTCAGGTGTGGCTGCAACGCTGGATGTGCAGATAAAGATTGCACAGCTGGAGGTGAACAGCAGCAACTGTAAATAGCAAGAGGGGGGCAATTAGATTTATTTCGATATAGATATATGTTTTTTAAAATATGCTCAGATGTTCTCCAATTAATCACATTTCCTGAATAACTTTATTTACACGTTTTCCTTCTGAATTAATGTTTTCAATCTGAAGAGATCATCGCATGTCTGGGTGGGTCAAGTCATTGAGAAAATTCTGCATGTCTGCATCAGTGAGCCCCGCCTCAGGCAGCTCATCTGTTCCTGCAGGAGACCTGCAGCGCAAATAGAGGGCAAGCTTCCCAACAGACACCAGCCATCAGCAAAGAATTAGCTTATTTCTGTGAGTAGTCGGGATTAATGTATGTCCAGCCATTAATTGATAGGCTGACTTCAAAAGCTCAGCAGCTGCTTGACTTATAGTCTGAGTGCTGTTCATATAATGGTCAGTCAGACAGCTGAATACAAGCTGTTTTAAAAACATCTGCTGATAAGTTAAAGAAGCAATCAATTGGACTTTGCTTCCAAGTTTGAAGAAGTTTCGCTTCCCATCCAGGAAGCTCCTTCAGTTCAAAATGTCAGGAATAGCGTTGAGTTTGAGGCTTTATACAGTAGCTCAACAAAGCCTTGTTTTTGTTTAGAAAAGATGCAAATTCAAACAGACAAACGGGTCCACAACTTTGGAATGGGGGTTGTTGGCGTCTTTTGTTAGCCTGCAATACCCCATACCTCTCTATGTCTCTGAAAGGGTTGTCTTTTACCTATACAAAAATTTCAAACCTCTATATTTTTTCAAAGCGTCTTCAAACAAAATAAGTTTCAATCTCACCCTCAAGCTATGTTTAGCAGAATTCTGTTGCTGATGGTAGAACTGAAACAACTAGTGCTGCTACCTATAAATATCACATTACTACAGGTTTTCCTGATCACTTGAAGATTATTTTCTTTTTCACACTGAAACATTTTTCTGACAAACAAACAAATCTTGGGAGAAGAAAACCTTGACATAAGTAAATACAATAAGCGATCATTTTTTATTTTACTACCCAAACCAATCTTGACATATTAGTCCCATCTTGATAAATCATAAATTAACTGTGATGTTGCTAAGCTTTGTTTTTTTTTTTTTTTTTTTTAAATATTGTTTGCTGTGGATATCTCTCCTTTATTCATAAATACAATTTTGTAAAACTGCACATGCTTATTGAGGTTAATGTCCTTCCACCATTCTTGCAGTTTGTTGACGTTTTGTGCAAACTTTTTTCTCACAAATGCTGTTCCACATTAGATTCATCCTTTAGCCTAATTAACCTGCAACATTAATAATGTGACCAATTAAGACAAATAATGCAAACATATGAAGTCACACATTTTTTTTTTTTTTTTGGAGGGGGGGGCTTCTCACCAGAGAGATTTTTTAATGATTTTCAATCATCAGTGGTTCTCTATTTAGATATTTTACAGCTTTTAAGATATTTTACTGGTTACTTTACACAGTCAAATCAATCGAATAACCTAGACAGATTTGTTAAAAGCTTTTGATCTAAGGAAACCTGGCTGTCTGCAGGTGTTATTATCTGTGCAGAATGAACTCCTCCTGGATGAGCACGTAGTGACAGCGGACACTTGCTTGCATTTCCACACTCCTAAAAACAGTTTGAACATTATGCAAGTTGAACACATGAACTGCTACAGAATCCTTCACCATTAATTTTAGACAGTCACGTGACTGCTTTTATCACTTGCAAACATCAAAAGTTAAAGAATGTTTTGCCAGGGTTTTTTCTTACCTCCAGGAAGGCTGATTGGTCCACAGCCATGACCCTCCTCGAAGCTTGCCTGGGTGATGTAGATGTGCTTCTTACACAATCTCCACAGGCCAAAGTGGGCCGCCTCACAGGTTTCATTGAACCTCTCCACTGGTGGGCTGAGCACTGCCCAGTAGTCCGTTACCACTGCTGTGAACATGCAAGCCATGCCCACCAGCAGCACGAAGATGGCGATCTTTATCTTGGTACGCTTGTGCATGTTTCCAATTTCTGTCGAATTAAAATATCTGTAAAAATCAAAAGTGGACTGACTGATCTGAAACCCAGAGGCTTCTCCTCACAGCACACCCTGTCTGTTTCCTTTCCACACAGGACTAATGTCTCCTCTCCCACTGCCACGAATCTTTGCTTCTGGTCCGAAAGGAAGGGGCCAGACTCCTCTGTCCTACTTTCATGCCCCTCTTTCCCCACACACTATGAGCAGCCGCTCTACTGACGGGCTGCAAGTTCAGATAGTCAGCTGTTAAGGCAGATCACAGAAGTTGATGACCAAACTGTCTGCTATGGTGAGGAATGGGAGTGTTCTTCAGGGTTTAAATGCTATAAATGACCAGTGAGTCAGGTTGTCAGGCTCTGTGCTTATCCAATTACGGTATCACTGTGCTAAAATCAGTAAGGGGCAATTATAAATGCATAATCATAGCTGTTTTTTGATGCATGTTAAATTTCAAAGTTTTTGCTTTAGGAGAGTACTGGATAGTTTCTCTCTTGCAGTTTACTTTCCATATCATGATATTGAATCTCACCTCAGTGCAGTTATATGGATCTGTCTATAAACTATTTATAAAAAGAGAGTAGCTGTGTTTAAAATGCGCAGCAGCTAGATTCTGCCTGAAAACACATTTACTTTATGGAATAAAAAATATTATCTGCCAGTTTTTTAACGCCAATTCACTTTGAAATTAAAATTAATCATTGAGTTAAACACTATGTCGATAGTGTTTACATAAGCCAGTTCATGTGACCCTTGTCTTCCATAGACTGACCGAGGGCAACAAGTTAAAGATCAAATAAATTAAGAAAATTTTTTTTTTTTTAAACAAAACTGCCCTGCCCTGCCCTATCCTATCCAATCCTGTCCTTTCATGTCTTGTCCTGTCCTGTCCTGCAATGTCCTGTCTTGTCTTATCCTGTCCTATCCTGTCCTGCCATATGCTGTTCTGTCCTATCATCTCCTGTCCTGTCTTATTTTGTGCTTTCCTGTCCTATGCTGTCATGTCTTGTCCTGTCATGTTCAGTTCTCTCCTATCCTATCCTATCCTATCCTATCCTATCCTATCCTATCCTATCCTATCCTATCCTATCCTATCCTATCCTATCCTATCCTATCCTATCCTATCCTGTCCAGTTCTGTCCTGTCCATTTAGTCTTTAATAGGTCCTAAAATCAAAGAAAACAACTTAATGTTGAACAAAACAAAAAAGTATGAGAAAAAAAAGCTGCTCCTATAAAATATATAAATTAAAATCATACCCAAGGTGGGACTGATCCCTTTGACTATTAAGTAACTATCGGTTATAGGATCATTTGTTAATGGGTAATATGATATTGCTCTCTCAGTTTCAGACATGTTTATGTTTCTCAGCTGAAGCTTTGCACCTGTAATTCAAACAAGTGTCAAAGAGCAGCGGTCAGTCGCTGAGTAACATGATACATCAGCAGCTGCATTGTTTTGGTGAGGAACTGTTGGGTGTGTGTAGACCATTTCAGCAAATGACCCCTTTCTTGTGCCACTGGGGCAACATTACCCCCTGCAAGTAGTCAGTTGCCTTGGTGACCTACTGCTCAACCTGTACAGGGTTTTATTTCTGCAATATACACTGAAGTGAAAAAACAAACCTCAGCTTTGTCAAACACTTGTAATTATTTCACATCACAAACAAGCAATTGTTTACCGTAATCTAAGTTGGAGCATGTTTACGTAAAGCAAACAACATGCGGTCAGTAAGTTATTAAGCAATACAGAAAAGCCTCAGTGGTCCAGTCCCATGATTTAGGGACCTTTGGTCTTCCCTCATATCTCTTCCCATCTGAAGAGATATAAGGAGACAGTCTAAGTGTAAGCTCAAAGAAAGACAAAAAAAAAAACAACTTCTATCCATGTAAAGGAAGCCTTTTTATTGAATGTTTCTGCCTCTCACTGAAATTATTGACATAAAAAAGGGTATATTTAGCTTTTAAAAATATGCAGCTTGATGTGTTTATGGGGTTTAGGATTTGAACAAATGATTGCAGTAACCAAACAACAATATATTATTTTTTTGCCACCATAATATAAGCAAGACAGAGTCTTGCTAAACAATGACGTTAGTAAAGCCCAGCCTTTTAATTCAGTTTAAAAAAGTCATTTAATTTACTACACAGATATCAGAGCCAAGTTTAACCTTAGACTGTTCCAGTGGGACATTTTTGGTTCTATATAACTTCATTACACATGAAACCTTTAGAATAATTGATGTTTTCAAAATTATAAAATCATAAAACCAACATAGGTCTGTTGTTGCTGTAAGGTGTTTCTGGACTGGAAAAAACCAAAATGAACAGAAAATGAATAGAAACTTTTTTACCAAAACTCAGAATTTAATTATTTGGCAACCATCCAAGCTCTACTGCTCCCCACATTTGGTACTCATTTGTATATTTGCAATTGCACATTACTGACATGAAAAGGAAACATTATTGGAGGGGTAACGTTTGATATTCATAAATCTGGGAAAGTTTATAAGGTCGTTTTCCAATAATTTGGAGTCCCAGTTTTTCACAATTGGGTAACATCCAGCAAACATCACCAGTTTTCCCATTGGAAGATTCCAGAAAGTTCACCGGCAGGTCAGATCATGCCATGCTCAAAGAAACTGCTAAACTCCCAAGAGTTACATTCCAGTCGGTACAGAATGTAGTTTGCATGTTCAATGATAAATTTCATGACAGCACAATTAGAGGATTACTGAAGGGGTTTGGCCTCTGATGAAAGGATTGCTATGCTCCCTCTCCACTCGGTGTTTAAAAAAACATTGGGAAGCATTTAAAGTCCTGATATTTTGACAGTCAACATCCAACTGTGATATGTAAACGGTAATGTTCATCAATAATGTGAAACATTAGATTTAAAGGGAAACCAAATGCAATATTTTTACAGAAAATATATAAAAGGATATTTTTATGTTTCAAAAGCCGTTTTAGGTACGGTAAAAACCAAAGCAAACTAAATTTACAAAGAAATGAAAATATTTTATCCCACATGGTGAGTGTGTTAAGTTGGATTAGCACAGCAGACTACTAAATGCGCTAACTGGACTTCATCCAGCAATTATAAAGCTTTTGTTGGGAATGAGCATTTCTAACTGTTTTCAGATCTTGAGGGTCCTGTGAGCTCTACCGCTGCACTCTGATGTTTGTCTTTTTTATCCATTTTATTTGATTAGGTTTTAGTGATGACTTAAAACATCTTAACATCTTTATTACTAATTAAGAGTTAGTCAGCTTCAATTCACCTTTTGCTTTTCCTCTGCAAGATTGGGGTGAACAATACAGCATAATTCAAGTGTTGGTGACTTGCACAGTGACCACTCACAGACACCATTGCACATAAGCCCATTACTGGATTCATAAAAAACAACTTTACTCATTGATGCTATGCAGGTGACTCAGTGGTTAGTGCACACAACCCATGTACAGAGGTCTTAGTCCTCGATGCGGCCGACCCGGGTTCGAATCTTACCTGTGGTCCTTTGCCGCATGTCTCTCCTCTTCTCTCATATCCCTTTTCCTGTCAGAAAAAAACAAGCCACTAGTGCCATTAAAAAACAAACCCACTTTACTCATTGATTTAAGGCTTTTCAGAAGCTCTCTGACAGTTGTCTTTGTATCTTTAAACAACTTCTGATGTTGCTAGAAGCCACTAGCTGTGGCTGGTTAATCATAAAACTATGTTGTATTCATTTAACGCATCAATAATGTTAAACAATGGTAGTAGACCTAGGTGTATGCATATTTTGCAATGGTTGTAGTCATGTGGGCAACGGGTAATAACTGTATGAATGAGGATGTGTGTTTGCACCTGTAAATGTGCATGCTTATACAATATATGAAGAATTGAATTTATTTGCTCACTTAATGGACTTCCAAGGAGAATCTGGAAGATTAAATTAGATTAAATAAGTTTCAATATCCTGTGGCAAGACATTTCTAATCCTTAATCTGTTATGGTTATCCAAGCCCCTTTTGCCATTTGCAGCTTCCATTATCTTCTGCCGGCGTCTGAGTGCCAACGAACCCCTAATTCATCAATATATATCTCTAATTGCTTTAGTCTTATATGTGCGTCTCTCCAGGTTGACAGAAAATTTTTTTACTAAATGACAATTCAGTGGAATAAAATATTGATTTCAAATTTTTGTTTAAAAAAAAATCTTAAAAACAAATACATACATGAAATGCTTCATGTGTGATACCTTGGTGAAGAGAAACCTTTTTTAATAAACCATTAAGACTAACGCAGCTGGTTTTAACGAGCTCTTCGCAGACATGAAAAGATTTCAGTCTTTTTTTTTTTTTACTTACTAAGCACATTCAATGCTTTTTACCCGTTTTTCACATTTACTAAAAATCACTTTGAAGACTTCTTTGTTTTAATTGGATGTTTAAACACAGTCTGTTACTATAAATTTGATATAAAAAATGTTAAAAATGCTAAATGTTTTGGTAAATAATTGTTGTTTTTTTTCCCAGTTTCTTAAGAATGGCCTTTAGACATTTTAGGTGTGTGTTGCTTTACAAAAAAAAAAAGTTAGACACTGTTGGTAAACTGACAAACAGCAACCCTAATGAGGATAAAAATAATTTGCAAAAACTTCAAAACTAGAAGATGTTTTAATACATTATCATTTGAAAAGATATTGATCTGTTCTGTAGACTTTACCAACAGCCTTCTCTAGAAAAACAACTTAAATCCATTTGTTTCTTTTTCTTTATGCTGGTAGGCAAAAAAAAAAAAAAAAAAAAAAAATCATTAAGTAGAGGAAGACTTTAGAAACAAGGCCATGCCTTTTCATCCTGAATCATTTATTTATTTCAGAAAGATTTATGAAAGATACATAAGACATCCCACGGCTTTTTTTTATTTTGCTGTCAATATTTTCTTTTGAAGATTTTTACTTTATGCAAATACCTTAGAGTTTATAAAAACCTCTGTGTGAAGAATGTACATTACTAAGCTCTATGAGATGTTCAACATCTAAAATGTATAAGATAGACAGAAAACAGATTTAAATTTTAAGAATAATGAAAATTATCTTTCCAAACTTTTTCAAAATTCTCCTTTCGGAATTCAGCTCACCTTAAGTCCATTAATAACACTTGTTTACAGCTTTCATTTGGTAGCAAGGAGGAGTAATAGAAGAAGGACATCTTGGAACCACCTGGACCTCACAGCTACCATCTCCAGAACCACCACTGTGCAAAGAATTTACCACCTTCCAT